CTACATCCCCAGTTTCTTCCTGCCATTCTTCTGCACACCATCAAAGCTCGTGTCGCCTTTGTGATGATGGAGCTGATATGTTTCTTAAACGTTAGTGTTTTATCTAGTATGATGCCCAGATATTTGACTTCATTTTTGATTTCTATCACAGTGTTGTTTAGTTTGATTACTTTCATGTGATCTAGCTTTCTTTTCCGTGTAAAAGTGACTATAGTTGTTTTGTTTGGGTTGATCCCCAAGCCTGCACTTTTACACATTCTCCTGTGATTTTCAGTCCCTCTTGGATTATATCACAGTTTTGCACAGGGTTTTTTGCATTGTATAAATTAATTTTTTTATAACTAAATTTTTTTAGCATTGTATAAATTCATTTTTTTAATCTAAAATTTTCTAGCATTGTATAAATTCATTTTTTTAATCTAAAATTTTCTAGCATTGTATAAATTCATTTTTTTAATCTAAAATTTTCTAGCATTGTGTAAATCCTTTTTTTTTCACATCCTACATGTAAATGTAAAATTTAAACAATGTTTATAAATCCCAGGTCCTGAAGGTGACCTCAATAAAGATCGAAACGTTGGCACAATAAAGAAAATATTTTTCTAAACCTACGTCACACCAGACCGCATCTCACGATCTCCGAATAATCATTACTTATATCATTAAACTTAGTAGGGGTGTAACATTTAGGTTTAGCATGATAATTGTGTATTATTTGTAATTTTAAAGCGAGTAAGTACTTAAAATAAAGTAGTAGGACTACCAATAACGGACAAATATTGATTTTGTTCGTTAAAAAGCGTAAAAATTAAATAACAACCTTGATAGGTACAGAAGCCAAAACCAGTGGAGATCACGTTTTTTATTTAAGACCCGTTCTATTAGCCAATACGGCCTTCGTGTGTGTTCAAAAACGCGGTAGTGCACTGATAGATTCGATCTCTTTTAATTATACAACATATACTTTAATTTTCCACGGACTTTAATTATTTCAATTACCAACTGCCACTGATTGGTAGCCGTTGTTGCGTGAAATTAATATTTAAATTAATTATCTTTTTATTAATTATTTTGTGGAAAAATTAAACACGTAGACAGACAGGTACGAGACGTCGTTTGCACAACTTCTCACTTAAACCTTTAACCTTTCAATCAAGTCAGAACAAACATTGGCACAATTTGCTCGCGGGCGAAGTTGTATAACTATTTATTTTTTATTAATGAAATGTTCCACAAAAGATAATTAATGCGCTCTCAAGAAAAGCGCAACATGGCTGTTTTCTTCCATTCAGATGCCAATTATAACTGAACAATAAAAATACGTAAGCAGGCTTTGTAAGAAAACAACGTTGATAATTGGATTATTCACGCAACCGATGTATCGTGCTCACTGAATTATTGTGCTATTAAGATAGGAATATACACGAACAACCTGTCGATATTTTCATTCTATAAATGTACTACCGTGTTAACAACGTTGGGACAATTTGCGTGACTTCTTTTAGAATAAAAACTAACAGTTTTCTCCCAGCTTATTATTATTAGAACATTAACAGTCCCCAAAACGTGTAAATGTCGACATTATGACAAAATCTCTCGACTTTAACACGATTAGCACAATTTGCCAGGATTACCCATAATGTAAAACACAATATGAGATAATTATTATTAGAACATTAACAGTCCCCAACTCGTGGAAATATCGACTTCATCGCAAAATCTCTTAACTTTAACACGATTAGCACAATTTGCGAGATTAACCATAATGTAAAACACAATATGAGATTATTATTATTAGAACATTACATCCTCATACCGTGGCTGTGTCCAGTGCATCAGAAAACCTGTTTATTTATACACAACGTATGTTTTGAAAGTTTGCCAATGTTTGAATAGTTATTGGTCTAATAAGTACATAACGTTTACCTTTCTTTGAAATAAATACAGGTAAAAAAATATCCCTCACATTGGCTTTACGCTGAAAGGATTTTAGCAGACGTGGTTTTCATTCTCATGGATTTATAGTATATCGGAAAATGAGCATAGAGTTTTTCTTGTTTGCAATATTATTCTTAAGAATGTACATTTTTTGTTTTTGTTTTAACACGCGATAAATTGTATTTTTTCAGGTAAAACGAGAAGTTTGCGGAAATTAAATATAATTGACATAGTCCATAGTCTAAGGTTGGGTTAAATAGGTGTCATTTGATTTTAGTTCCACGGGACAAATAAGATCCAAAATGTATATTTGGTCGTAAACTGTTTAACAAGGATGGGCAAAGTGGTAAGGTTGATGCGGAGACTTCATTGGGTCGACTAAAAAGGTGGGCAGCCACGAGCAGGCCCTTTCTCACAGTCAGTCTCACCGACGCTCGGAGGCCGGTATCGGAGCGAGGCATCATCCACGCGATATCATCACAGCCGATTGAAAAACTGGTGAGTTTCCATTACTTCACACCACTGATGAAAAGGGCTCCCGGGCCACGTCGGAGGGGCCGGGTCGTAAATCCGAATCCCGTCCTCCTCGCGCTTGCAGTAATTGTGCAAATCGAGAATGTTAACTAAGATGGCCATTTACATTCCAGCAATAGCGTATATTATTTGCATATTTATGGATGACGAACAATACCCTATGAATACATTTTTTTGTTTTCTCTAACCGGTCGACAATGGCAGTCCTACATTTGAGTGAAACGGTTCACGATCTGATACGTTGGCAAACCACTAATGCTCGTCCCCGTAAACCATGCGTGGGACGAATTGAAGCAATCTTTCCGGCTCTCCCCGTGATAAGCCTATTTTTTGGAATTTCGACAGAACTCGTTCTTTTCATATTCTTCAATTTTGCCCTTGAAACTACAAAGAAAATATATCTATTATAAGAACATATTGGAACATAACGGAAGGTTTTGTTATAGATAGATTCACCTCTCTTCATACATAAATAGTGCTTGTAAAATTTACCCTAACAAAATTAGATTACATAAATATATTATCAATATTATACACACGTGTCAGAGCACTAACACACAACGAAACCCAACTCACAAGCAGAAGCAAAAGAAAATAGACAATTTGTAAATTAACTTAACTTAGGTAAATAAATGGACAATAATCCAATACAGTCTATACCGATCACAGTACGCAACCATCAAAAGGTTCAAAGGGGTTGAAAATGAATATCAAAACATTTATGACCTCCCCCATAACGTAAGGCTGAATTTGGTCAAATTTGATTCACTGGAAGACAGAAAAAACCTCGCTTCAGATTTGTTACTATGGGAGGTTCTGAAAAATACAATTGATTACGGAGATTTTGTCCAGCATAGGTTTTAGGGACTTCGGCGTCAACTGCGCCCTCATGGTTTTATGCCCGCCTACAAAGGACGAATTATGTTCGGAATCTTCCATGTCTTCAGTGGTGCTACGTATTAATAAACATGAAGACAATACTTACTCTGACTCCTTACTGGTTTTCATAAAGAAGATTTCACTACCTTTAAAACACTAATTACTTATGCATATTTTCTTGTTCATTTCTATTCCAGCGCTTTAATTTAGCTTTATATTAATCTTTTAAATGTGTCCAGTTTTATAGAAGATTTAGTGCTTTGCGCATTTTTATCTCATGTTTTAATGTGGTACCCCTTTCAGACTGTTCAGATTTGGTTTCATTTGGACGGTATGAACTGAAGTATTAAATAAATATAACATGTTTCTGACACATTAATTCCCCCCTCTCTCACCGACCAATTGGTATTAGATGTTATAAATTTTTAATTGCTATTCTGTTTTTTAGAAATCATAGTTTTATTTTTATTTCTAATATCAAATTTTTCAAACGTTGCGAGGAATAATGAACTTGCGGTTTAAAAAAATATATTAAAATATTAAACAATCAATGGTTTAAGGTGATGAGTTTGTTTGTTAAGTTTTTATTTCTTAATTATATTGTGTACATAATTAGTTACATAATTATTTTCATAACAACAACCTGTTCTCGGCGTCAAATTCCCTTTGCGCAGAAATAATTGACGGTTCTCAAATGGCAGTAAAATTTAAATTTTCCCCTATTGAAGCTTATAATTAAACAATTCAATATTAATGATGTGGCTGATTTCCCATTGTTTACGTTCAGCTTTTGCCATCTGGGGCGGGTAATGAATGCTAAAAGATCGGTTATAAATGTTTAATGTAATTATTCATTTATTAGTCAGACTGATAGTTAAATTTTATACTTGGCCATTGTTTCTATATTCGCATTGTTATATGTGCGAATTAACCGGGTGTCGATTCAAACGCGATATTTTCTTGATGCAAAGGGGAATTTTGAATTTTCAGAAAATACGTATTTTTCCATTTTTAATGTACTAAAAAATAACTTGTGACAATTTTCAGGGAAATTGAGATTCAGATGAGCCACTTTAAAATTCTAAAGGCAAACTTATGAATTTTACATCACTAAAAAGGGTTTTTACGTTGAAAAAAGTTAAAATTGAAAGCAATTCTCTTTTAAACAGAGTTTTATTTTATCGATGTTTATGACAGTTAATCTTCAATTAAAAAAAGTTAGTTAAACAGCTAGGTTTTTAATTTAAGGGTGAAAAAGTCTTAATTGATATAATTTTTTAATATTTTCATTATATAATTAGTTTAATACAATTGACGACATGGATTATAAACATAACATATAAGCATGTTTGCAAATTTCGGAAAAAAATCAGAGGCATTTGGAAAGCGAAAAATTCGAGATGATTTTTTTTTTATTTTACTTTAAATTTGTACTTAAGATATTTTGGATCCAAAAACCGCCTATCAACTGTGTTTCTTGTTAAAAAAATTATTTGAACGTACGTCGCTCGGTTACCAAATAATTACGTATTGGATTTCAATATGTGGCTCAAATTTGCTCGGCAGTAAATTAATTTTATTCCTGTTTTCGTAAGATTGGTTGACATTTTTTTTAGAAAGAAACAGAGTAAATATTAGTTTTCCGCAAAAAAACAACTTTTTTTCGAATAATTTTGAAATCTATAACTACTACTCTATAATCTACACATAATGCCATAACGTTGGTCGTTTGGTCTTCCAATTCAAATTAAATTTGGATACATAAAATAACATTAGAGAAATTTTTGTTGATTTTATGTTTTTTTTTATGCTCAGCATTCTAACTTAGAACGGCATAAAAGTACCGGTCCAAAATTTGTCTATTCCGATGAAAATTTGTATTCAATGAGTATAGAAAACTTTTTTGCCTATTTTACTGGAGCGTTTTTAGAAACGGGTAATTTTTATTTTTCTAATCTCATTTAATATAATCTCGTATAATATTTTCCTATCATAACTAAAAGTAAGAAAGCCTCAAATATAATAACCTTGAAATATAGGCACATCAAAGACAGAAAGCCATATTTAAAATAAAAATATTATGTAAATTACTTAGAACAATTATTTACCCTCCTATTGGGAAGAACGCTCGGACTCGAATCTATTATTTTTGGACTTAGTAACATGAAAAATTTCATTTTCAGTTTCATTAAATTGGTGATCCCACTCTCCTTCTTAGTTGAGCGGCTGAGACAAAGAAATTAGTTTAAATTTACTTTTGAAGAGTCTGTCATTTTTTCAGTTTCAATCTCGAAATGAAAGTTTAAAAATGAAAAAATACTGTGACAGAGGATTAATAATATCTTAAAACTTAACAGTAATAGTTTCCACTAATCTAAATTGATTGTGGATAGTTCTTCTTCTTTTGCGTATTTAGGGTACCGACTCTCTCGTTTCTCCTGCTCCTCTATCTACCCCACGGCCTCATCAGTCAATTATAAAAATACATACATAAAAACACACAAATTTTAAACATATAATAAAAAAATATTAATTTAAAAAGAAGTTAGTCTCATTAGTATTCATGCTTTCCCAAAGTACTCGATATTCCTCGGGGTTATTGAGAATGAAGTTTTTCCATTCACGCTAATAAATTACACTCACACACTAGACTTCTGAGTCTCTACTTTCACACAAAGAAATTACATCAATACAAATAAAATCTCATTCACCCCTTTCAATCAAGCTAATAAATACCAGTATACAAACACATATCTCATTCATTCGTACCCCAGTACCCAGTATTCGTCAATACCTTAACACAATTGGATCTGCTTTAACTTTGATAGAATGCGACTACGTATTTTTAGAGAAAAAAACCTCTTTCCAGTGGTGTAAAATTCATAGGGTGTTTATATTTAAAAACTTTAAGTTTGAATATTGTATAAAAACCCATTATATTTCGAGGTCCGATTGACCAAATAACTTCTTTCAATTAATTAATCTTTATGTAAGGTATTGGTCGGAATGAAAAAGTTACTGTCACGAGCGGGATTCGAACCCACGACCTTCGGCTCAATACGCCGCTGCTCTAACCACTTGAGCTATTTTGTCACGACAACTCAAGTAGTTAACTTTTTCATTTCAACCAATACCTTACATAATTTATAAAAAATTAAAAATACATTTCTTTCCGAGAAATTTTTTTGGATACGTTCAAGTTTAACATTTAGTTCTTGAAAGAAATAGAAAATTTAACGATGAACTAGATTATCGACCTGCTGGAAACATGGAGTCTTTTCAGAGGATCTTCGGAAGAGGTCAAACAGAGAAAACTTCCTTACGGTTTTCGCCGAGCTTTCGACAGTTTTATACTGTCATCTTCAGGGCCTGTTTTATTATCATATAAACAAACAATTAAAACATGAAAAAACGACAATTACAACGAAAATTGAATATCTTACTTTAAACCTTAATAGGGAATTAAACAACATGGTGTTTTGGGCANTATATATACAAATAACTTATCATAAAATTTAAACATATAAAAACTGTATAAAACTGTCGAAAGCTCGGCGAAAACCGTAAGGAAGTTTTCTCTGTTTGACCTCTTCCGAAGATCCTCCAAATAGAAAATTGTTCTTAATTGTTAATTGTACATAATTTATCACAAGTCACAAATAAAGATTATTGTCTGATATGTTTTGCTTCATAATTTACTACCTTTTTAATTGAAAATATAATATTTTGGTATAAATTTTCTATTTAATTATTGGGCACTTTCATTTTATTGGTCAAATTGATAAAATAAAACTTTTAGTTAATAAATACCCGTTGAGTTTATATTTTTATTGTAATAAGCGCGTGATGTATCAGAGGATTGTAGTGTTTTACATAATTTATTAGACATCTGTAATAAACGGAGATATGTTAAAACATTTGGGCTTTTTCTTTTTAATTACAACATTTTTGGTTTTATTATACTAGACATTACTTAAATATTTTAATAATTCTCAAAAGATTCTGATTTTAAGTGATACCACTCTTGACCGATTTGTTTTTATTAATTTAAATAAATGTGATGAAGTCTTTTAACAGCTTTGACT